TATAAAAAATAAATAGATAAATAAAATTTAATAAGCCTTAACCTAGGTTATAAATACTTATTTATAAGTTTATAGGACTAGACCTTTAAAAAGGAGACCTAATATTACGACTTAATATATATAAATAAAACTAGGGCCTACCCCGTAGGCTTATAGTAATTATAATACGCTATATATATATAAAGAACGTTAATATAAAAAATACCTTAATAAAATAAAAGAACTATAAATAAAGTTATATAATAATAAAAAAGACTAATAAACGATAAGTAGTTTATAAATAGGATTAATAAAATAAGGGTAGTTTACCCCTAAAGAACCGATATTATAATATCGGTCCTAACTATAAAAAAACTATTTAAATAATATACGAACTTATATATAATATAAACTCGAGCTAAGCTTAAAAAGCAAACTTCTATAGCTTCTTTAATAATTAACTTAATATTAAATCTTATAATTACTTTTAGCTATCTTTACTAAAAAACCCTTCTAATAAAACTATGATTAATTACTAAAACCTTATTTACCTCATAACTTATAGACATAGTTTTAAAAAAGCTATCCATAACTAAAACACTATTTATTTAGTTATTATAACCTCAACTTCTATTAACATACTTACTACGACTAGCTAGCCGTAATATTTTCGCTACTTATTTAAAAAATAAGCTTTTTTTATTTTAATATATATAAAACCTCTTACTACTAGCCTATATAAATAGCTAAGTCTTATATAATATATTCTTTTTTATTAAAAGTTAAAGGACTTTTTATATAATCTTTTATATTTATAATAAGACCTACCCCTCTAGGGTCTAACCCGCCTCATTAGGGGCTATTTTTACCTTTATAAGTAAGCTAGTTTACTAGGGTTAATATTAAGTTTTTATTATATTATAAACTTTATAACTAACTATAACTAACTATAGCCGTTATTAATTATTATATTAATTTAACTCGTTATAATACTAATAAATATATCGAACTATATTAATTATTTTTTAAATAATTAAAAACTACCTCTTAAATTTATTTTTTTTATAAATTTTTTAATTCTTTTAAATAATTATTTTTTAACTTAAGCTTAGCTATATAATTCTTTAATTATACTAAGGAATCGATTTCTATTTTAATATTAATAATATTAAAACTCTTTTATAAAACTAAAACTTTAATAATAATAGTATTAATTTATTCTTTTTTTAATTATTTTAGGTTTTTTTAAGTTTAGTTATTTAAGGCCGTATTTATAAATTTCTTATTTTTTAAAAATAATATTAATTAGTATTATAGTTTTAAAATTAAATCTTTTATTATAAAAGCGGTTATTATAAATTAATAACAACTTATTTTAGTATTTTAAGTATTAATTATATATATTTAAAAAGAATTAGTAATAATAGTTTATAGTAGCGATTTTTAATTCTAATAAATAAAACGGGGTAATAGATATATAGTATATATATATATATATATATATAAGTTAAAGTTAAAAGCTAGATATCAATAGCTTATATAAAGAAGTATTATTTCAATTAACGGTAACGAGGGTATCTTTAATATTATTATTATAAGTTATTATTATTTAGAGGGCCGTAAACTTAGCTAGGTAAGTAGTTTATAAAATAATAATATTATATACTTAATATTATTATTAATTAATCCGTAGTTATAAACCTTATAAAAAGGAAAGTTAAAAAGGTAGAAAATTTAAAAAAAAATAGTTTATTAAAATAATAAGAGTATTTATTAATATTATATATTAATATTATATAAACGATGTTGAGAGTCGCCCGAGCGATTAGTAAAAATAGAATAACCAAAATAAAGAATAAGACCTATATCTAAAGAATTATTAATTTTATAAAATATAATTTTTAGATTAATATTAATATAATATACTTATATAGCGAGCGGCGTATTATAATAAGCGGCGCACGTCCTTATAATTCTACTCTCTTTATTTTTAAAATACTTTTTTTTTATATATAAATATATAATCCTTTTTAAATAAAAACTAAATTATTTTTACTTTTTAAGTTATTAAAAAAGACTTAAAAATATTTATATAAAGAGCTATTTTTATTTTTAAAATTTTTAAATTAATCTTTTATTATTAACGTACTAAATATATTATATAAAGTAAAAAATAATTAAATTTAATAAAAATAATTATAATAAAAGAAGAAGTAATTTTTAAATAAGTTATTAATTTAATTAATTAAGGGTTCTTTTTATAATAAAAAAATATATAAAAAATAGCTAACTAATTTCTAAATATATATAATAAAATATATATTAAATTATAATAAGTAAAGAACTTTATATAACGTATTCCTAAATTAAAAATACGATTTTAATATTAAATTAATTATTAAAGGGCCTTAGTTAAAGATTTTATTATTATATAAAGCTAATTTACTTTTATATAAAATATAATTACGAAGTATAGAATATATAATAATAATATTTATAATTTTAATAAAACGGGCTTTTTAATAAGAATACTATTATATATAAAAGTTATTACGACTTTTAATTATAATAAAAGGCCTTATATAAAATAACTTAATAATTAAAAATAGGTTTTTATTATTTAAGATATATATATAAATAGCTAAATACTACTTCTATATATTATTATAAAAAATAAATATTACTTCTTTTTTTAATATATTAATAGCTAATTCTTAGCTATATAATATATTTATCTAAATAAAAATAAATAAATAATAAATAATATTAGCTTAAATTAATTAAAGTATTTTAATTAATATATAAAGACTTATATAAAAGGTTCTTATTACTTTTTAATTTTTAATAATTATAATAACTATAAATCGATTAACTTTAATAAATATTATAAAAAATAAAATATTATTATTTTTTATATACTTCCTTATTTATTATATAAGTTTTAGCTTTTTAATATTAAATATTTTAATTTATTAAAATATTTATATAATAAAAAAATTAAGAAGATAATATAAATATAAATTTTATATATTATAAAGGACGACTTTTTTTTTAATTTTAAAATAGTTATTTTTTACTTAGATTTTAAACTAAAAACGCTAGTATTATTAAACTTATAACTAAGTAACTAAGGCTCTTAGGACCTAAAAATACTAATTATAATATTAAAAAGCGTATAAAGTATTACTTTTTTTAAAAATAAGATCTAAATATATTAAAGTAGCTTATTAATATTAATATATAAAATAATTAATTTCTAAACTAAAAATATTAATAAATTAGTTTATAAGCTTATTATTATTAAAATAAAGAACTATAAGCTTTATATAGGGATAAAAATATTAAATAAGTATTAAAAAATAAAAAAGACTTAGTTATGTTTTAAAAAGCTATTTAATAATACTAAAATAAAAATATTAAAAATAAAAAAAAGTAATATTAATATTAAAAAAGAGAATAACTTTTAAAAAGAGAGTTATATAAAAAGTACTAAACTATATATATAATAATATAATAATTACGAGAAGTTTAAATATAACGTATAAACTTATAAAATAATTTAAAATAATAATAAAGAAAAGGGTAATATATAGTTTTAATTAATTTTATATATTATAGCTAAGTTAACTTATAAAAAAGGTTAAGAAGTTACGAAAAGTGCGCCGCTTGTTATAATACGCTACTCGCTATATAAGTACGTTATTATTATTTTATAAATAATATTAAAAACTACTTAAGTAATTAATAAAAATAAAATAACTAAATAACTAAGGTATTATTAACTTAAAAAGGCGGCAAACTTAACTAAGTATATAGTAAACTTATAAAATAATAATATTATACTTAATAAGTTATTATTATTAATTTATTATTATAAACTTTATTAAAAAAAATTTAAAATTAAAAAACAAATAACTAAATTAAATAAATAATATTGAGAACTACCTAAGCAATTAGTAAAGGCAGAATAGCTAAAATAAATAGTTTTGCTAGAGTTTAAAAGTAGCCTTGCTATAGTGGGTAAAATATAGTAGAGCTGCTACTCTGCTCCCTTCTCTGTCGTGACGCGCGCACATCTCGCCTACCCTATCACGTCTCTGTCTCGCATAGTTTTAACCCGACGCGTAGTGGAAAACATAGCTCCACTAGGCAAGGACAACAGTGGAGAATGCTAAGGAATAGGGGCTTCCTCTCTCACCAGTCCTCAAATTTCAAGTAGCATAGCTCGTACCCGTCAGCCAGGTTTTGGGCCTCATACTCGGCGATCATTGTCGTTTCATTGGTTGATCTTTTGTTGGTTGGTAGTTCATCACTAATGTCTGGGCGAATTGGCTTGGACGTCCTCGTATGAGAGCGGGACCGCAAGAGGCGGAGGGGCGATGTGTGGCTCAGAGTCTTGTCTTAGTCTTACGCTTAGGCTCGCCCAGGCAACGGCGTTTCGTTCTTGAGAACCTCTGAATCTCACTCCCTCATCTTCCAACTCGTTTCGAGGCTGATTTTCAGCGTCTTTTGTTTCCCATCCTGGTGCACAGCGATTCGTAAAATCACCATGACTGGCTGAAAACGTTTCCATTCACTCTCGTTTTGTACTTCATGCTTTCCCCCGGTGAACTATCACCTGTACTCACTCGTTACTTGCGCTCTGGCGCCCTGCCTTGACAAAGGATAGACACGGAATAATTGGGCAATCATGGCATTTGCATTTTTTTCGACCTTAGGACTCCTGGCCACATTTCAATTGCCTGCACTTGTAGCTGCGGAATCACAAAACATTGACCTTTGTGGCCAGTCAGACTGGTGGAACTCTACTGAAGTTCCGTATTCATGTGTGTAGCTTTCCAAATCATCGCAGTGGTTTTCAACCCCATGACCGCTCACTGACAAATGCGACAGTCAATAATAATGCCTGGGGAAACGACAGCTCGGGCTACCAATGTATGGCCGTCCATGATAACGGCAGGAGCTTCAGTGTCTCTTACAAATGGACCGGGGATGCATCTCTTGTCAAAGGCTACCCGTACATGAAGGCTCATCCTACCAGGCTCCCTGTCCAGCTATGGAACGTCACTCAACTACAGGTGACTGGTAATTGGCAGACTTACGTTGCTGGCAAGGAAAAGGCCAGTGCTGAGCAGCAGGCCCAGGCCTTCGATGACGTTTCGCTCTACGCCAACGTTGCTGTGGACATGTTCCTGTCCGATAACAAGGAGAACTCAACCATGGTCGGCGCCCCCATTGAAATCATGATTTGGCCTTGGTGGACGCCAACTGTCAAACCACTAGGATGGGCCGAGTCCACTCCCGACAAAGACACTGTCACCATTGACGGCACCGCTTTCTCGCTGTACCATGGCTGGAACGATGGGGGCCAGCATGTTTTTTCATGGCTGGCTCGCAACAACCTCACCAAGACCGATGCCGACTACGGACCTTTGCTCACCTACATCTGGAAGAAGGGTATGCTGTCAGGCGCGATATGGCTAGGGCAACTCGAGCTGGGCACCGAAATCAAACACGCCGCAGGCGACATGCACTTTGAAGCCAGCAACTACACCTTGAAGGTTGTCAGGCAAGGAGACCCAGAAGACAAGGCGACCTCAACGTCTACAACTCGATCCAGTGCCAGCCAGATCGCAACGACGAAGACAGTGATGACGACAGCCGCAGCTGAAGCCGCCACCACTTCTGCGCCGTCTCCCACCAGCACCAATGCCGCGTCTACTTCATCGCTTGCAGACCTGTCGACAGTTTGGTGGATCTCACTGGTCACAGTTTTGTTGTGTTAACATAAGTCGCTGCGAGATATGTGTAAAGACTTTCGGGGATAAATTACCATATGGATTTGTATATTCTAATCAAACATATTTTAATCGAAGGTCAACTTTCTTCAACCGGGAAACTAGGCCTCGAGGGACGGAAATGTGCTCAGGCTTCGCTCAGGGCCCCAGCATTCAGTGGCGGATCGATCAACATTGAGCGCGTAGAGAAACGCACTTCTGGTCGGTGCTACCTCGCCGAAGTACTTGTGTTGGCTTAGATCAAGACTGTGTGCGAATAGTCTTTGTATCAGTTTTTCTGCGTTAGGCAATATGGAACAAAGCCAGCGAAGAAGAACTGACGGTTTGGACGGGCTCGGGGCGGTATCAAGCTGTCCTGATAGCTTCTATGCCCTATACTCCACTCCCAGCCATACGACGTAGTTGTAGATGTGATATTGTTTTCATGATCATGGGTAGGCATGATGGTGATGCTTAAGAAACGATGCTTGGTCACTAGTAACCGTTGCAACGACAATGGCGAAGAAACACTCCTCTTTCCCGCAATGGCAGTTCAGATATAGAACACATCATAGGTTTAAAGGAAGGTCAGGAAGTGCTGAGCGTAATTGCTAAAATGCCCCTCCAAGGCTACCAATTGTTTGCCGAAGCTATAATACACACTCTTTTGAATCCATATAATCATCATTGAATGATATCATGGGCTAGCCTTTTGTGTACGCTCAGCTTCGAGCTCCCTCTCAGCCTGCTGATAGTACTTGGCCGTGTCAACGCCATGTTGATTGTGGTTGACAAAGTTGAACCAAGGAATAACACCCATGAACAAGGCCGAATATCTAGATTGTCGCGCAGCGACGCCTTGCAAGTGGGGGGTCAATCTGCTCTCTCCGTAAAGCGGCTCACCGGCCTTGACCTTGGAAACCATTTCCTTCATGTCCAGCTCAACTTCGCGAGCGTTCTCGGTGGCCCCGTAAAATCGCACTGTAAGCCGACCTCGTTAGCATTCTGCGCCTCTTGCAATTCCCTTCATCTCCAAAGGTCGTCCGGATACACATCCTTACAGCTAGAGCGCTGGTAAAAGTATAGAAAACCACCAGCGACACCAATGGCTCCAGCCAATCGTAAAGCCTGAGCCATACCTCCCTTGCCAACGTGGGAAGGAGCAAACTTCTCCAGGGCGAGTAGAGCGCCAGGGCCGAAGGCGGCAGCTACAGCACCATGGAGATAATCCGAAGGCCTGGCATAGCCGACAACTCTTTTGAAGTGGCTGTAGTCGTTCTCTGTTAGCTTCTGATCCTATGGAGGCTGCGGCGGGCGGGTCGGGGCATACGGGTCGTTATCGATGAGCTTTGCGAAGAGAGAGATATGTCAGCTCATGTTTGTCTTCATATATGCATCAGGGTCTAACCGGGTAATCACTCCTCACGACCTTGGTCGGAGTGAAAGTCTGCGCTTGTGCGGTAGCCATTGTAGCGGACGGCAATGCGTAGCCCGATTGCGTCGATGATGGCCGATAGCTCTATGTTCTCAGCGGTCGATTCAGATGTCGAATTGGATATGAACGGACGCTGATTGGGGCCAAGCCACCAGAACAGCCTGAGGCAGGATACAGTTCCGAGCACAGACCAGTATAGGTGTGGCTTTGCATATGAGTGGGTACGCACATCGACCACCCCGACAGTGGCAGACCCCTGGAGGACGGAGCTGTGCCGACGCGTCGTTTAATTGAAGACGCGACTCCTAGTGACATTCCGCGTTTCTCGGAATGCACAAGAAGGTAGCGACTCTTCTCGGGCAGATTTTGCACAACTACGACGGAGCGCATAGGGAAACTCGAGCGATGGCTTCCAGAACTGTACCCGAATATGACGATCTCGACGTCTACAACGTTGATGACGACTTCGACGACCCATTCAAATCCCCACCGCCCGAGGCGAAAGATGCGAGCACGAACAAGAGAAAGCAGGCCGAAGCCCTGGGCCTTGATGAGGAGGTCGAGGTGGCTAAAAGAGTGCGGGTGCCACGCGTAAAGCTGGACGAAGCTCGGTTGGTATCTCATGTGCACGATACTACGGGTTGCTGATCTTTGACAGGCTACTGTCAGACAACGGGATACCTAAACTTCGAAAACGCGCCGGTAACCTCAAGTTCAAGGGCAAAGGACACGAAGTAGGCCCGTGTCACCTTCTGCTGCGATTTTCATCCCTTGCTGAGACGGTGTTTTCTAGTTCTCCGATGCAGCGCGTCTTCTATCCTTTTACCAGCTTTGGCTCGACGACCTCTTTCCCAAGGCCAAGTTCCTTGACGCTCTGAGCATGGTTGAAAAAGCCGGCCACAAGAGGCAGATTGGACTCAAGCGCATGGAGTGGATCAACGAGGGCAAGCCTAAGCCGTGGGATGCAAGCGAGGACAGGACAGAAGATACGGTGGAAGAGGCATCAGAGCAGACAGCCGAACCCTCCACTGCCCCAGTCTCAGCAATTGTCCCTCCACAACAAAACCTGGAAACACCAGAACGTGGAGACACAATGGGTGTAGAAGATGTATACGATTCGACGCTATTGGCTAGGAAGCAGGATAAGGAAGTGTTCACGTCACAGCCTGAGGAGCCCGATGACGACGATCTCGACGCTCTCATGGCTGAAGCGGATGGAGCAACCCGTGCACAAGCACCAATACCCCAGGAGCACACTGGCAAGTCAGCAGAGGAAGAATTCGCAGATGAAGAGGCCGCTATGGCCGAGATGGACGGGCTTTGGTGACAGGACCAAGTTCGCAGCAACAATGGTGGCATGAGCGATGATAAATTTAGCACAAGAATGGGTTGCATGCATGATGGATGGCGTTGGTTCATGATTCCATTTGAGATTTACGACAAGCACCATCTCTGTAGTGTGTGATGTTAATCAGTCTACTGATTTGAAGACACCACTGTGGTGTCCTCAGCATGATTTTTGACCCGACCAGGGATAAGGCATGATACGAACGGGCTGTCACAATGGGATCAAGGTATAAAGAGACATGAAAACGTTGATCTGAGGTGACATAAATATCATTGGTCGCAAGGCGACGTGTCATTGAATCAATATAATGTTACAGTCCACCGACATTGTCTATACTGAATGGACACCATGCTTGCGCCTGTACACCATTTTCCCATCCCATCCCATTCAAGCCAACCGAAAACGCTTCCCAGGCTCGTTTGTGCCAGTCACTCCCCGCTTCCTCTTGGAAGTCGAAGCAAACATATGATTATTAGTTGGTGTTGAGAAGTTGTTCGCCGGATCGGGCGCTTGAGCTCTTAGTTGAAGTGAATTCCTGCGGTTGATTTTCCGCTCTTCAACTCTAAGAACCCATAGCAAAGTCAAAAGGACCTCCCTGGACGGTAACGGTGCGCCGACAATCCACGTTGGTGGTGTCTGGCTGCTGTCGCGCTGCGCCGAAGGTTCAACCGACGATCCCCCGACCCGGTCATCGCATCTTTCAGACACCAACCGCAATGCCTCCATCGTCGCATCCATGAGCGGACGCGCCAGAGTGGGGCTGCAGGTTAGGATTCTCTGAAGAGACTTGAGTCTCAGAGTGGGTGAGGTCGCGGCCGAAATCCGGGTCCGCTGCGACGGCTGCGCCGTTGACGTCATCGTGGAGGAACTCATTGATGTCGAACGGGTCTTGGAGGAAGGTAGAGTCACCAACCAGATAATCGTGTTCATAATCGAGGGAGTTGGGGGAAGAGAGAAGCCCGCTTTCAAGGACATAGCGATCTGCGTCAAGGGCCGCTGACAAACTGAAAGAATCACTGATGAGGTGACTAGTAGCGTCTGAAGCTGCAGAAAGAAGACCAAGGTCGGATGCAGAGGGGTTTGAGAGGCCAGCCATGATTGCGGAAGCTCCTCCGACAGATGACACTGCAGGTCGCACAACATCGCTGCAGGACGTTGTGTCAGGTCGGAGGTAGACTTCGCAACAGAGGTCTCGGCCGTTGGCTGCTCCTCACCGGTCTCCTCAGTACCCTCAGCGATTGGTGAGAGTTCTGGAGAGAGCGATGCGGGGTTGACAGTGGCGTTGGGTTGAGATGTGGTCATGAGGTCGTCGACGAGGGACTTAGTCTCGTCTAGTGAAGCGCGGTGGCCGTCGTGGGAGCTGAAGAGCTCTTGGGACAAGGTCACCGAGTTCTTGTGTAGGGGATCGTTGGGAGACGTTGAACGGGTCAACATGCCGGAGTCACGGCGGAACTTGTTCAGTTCATCCACCAACAACTGATTTGCTTTGGTGACGTTCTGGAGAGCCGACTCAAGCTCTTTATTGCGTCGTTCCAGAGCTTCAACCTCCAGTCGCTTTCGCTCACGGGATGACTGGGCGGCTCGACGGTTGCGAAGAACCCGCTCAACGCGGCGTTGTTCCTTCTCGTCTTCTGTCTTGGCGCGTTTCCTATTAGATAGGTTAGATGAGATGCACAGGAGGGATATGCCGAAACAGATGAGTTGTCGCAACTTACCTAGGAGGAAGGTTTGTCTTGGGCTCAGGAAGAACCTGGCCCCATGACTTCCGCTTCTTTGTTTGCTTCTTATCCGGAGACGATGATCCTGCACCGTCAGGAGCCGGGGTCGAAGCCGTAGATGCAGGAAGACCACCGTCATCGTTGAAGGGCGGCGGTGTCATCGTGTCGGAGGGATCGAGAGTATCATCATTGACGACGGTTGCGTCGCCGAATAGCGAGGGATATATCTCGCCAGGTGTGGAAACAAAAGACTCGGCAGGCGAGTCCTCGAACTTGATCATTGGTGATGGCTGCTCCCAGGATGCCATTGTGTGTCGAATACTGGTCGCGCCGGGAGCTGAGCTCTCGACAGACGCGTTCTAGCGTAGAAGGCAAAGGGCTTTGGGAGCTGGAGCGTGCAGTGAACCTGCTTGGTGTGGAGTGGATTGACGAAGATCCGGGGGAGTGAGGTAGTGTGGTAAGGCTGATGCGTGAAGCCAGTGGAGGCAATAATGAGGTGCGACTGATGTCCTCAGATGATATAGCCAAAGCTGCGATGCTAAGTAGAATGCATGTTGGGGGCGTTGACGACTCGGTGAATGAGTCAGATATAGATTAGGTGAGTCACCGAAGCAAGAGGCACCAGCTTAGAGAGAAGCGTGGTAGCCAGAGAGTGCTTGGATGAGGCAGAGAGGACAGAGTGTCCTTTGCTGTTTTGTGCAGAGGTGCAAGGTGTTCACAAAATACGTGACAGAAGTAGGCGATGTGGCCTCTTTTGTAATTTGGGACTACGTTGAACCAGCTTCCCAAGGGGGTGGGCAGGAACCAAGGGACGGCCAGAGCATTGCTGCCTCAGGTGTTAATTTCGAATAAACCCCCCGTGGCCCCGGCTGAAATGGCAGAGACCCTCAACTTCCAAGGGCAAGGTTAAGGCAGGGGTTAGGGGATGGGGGAGATGTGGAGGTTCTGAAGGCAGCAAGGGTTGAGTAAGGCACCTACTTTCTTTGGTAGGTACTATGTAGGTATTCGTAGTTCGTACTCCGTACCTCCCCACTCTGAGGTGAGCTGGTGGCCGACCTTGCAAGCACGCACGCAGATAGGTACGGCTACATTGGCACGCTTAGCTTAAGAATGGAAGGTACCTTCGGATTCGCCTGTGTCAGAGGCAACATAGTTGTAACTGGGTGGGTGGAGGCAGGGCCTCCTCCCTCATTGCCACACTCTGATCAGTGGTGAATTGTTTTGTTCGTAGCTACCGAAGAGGCAGCTCAGGGCAGGCCGCGATCCGCAATCCGCAATTCGCAGGCCGCAAGCCGTAGGCCGGCAAGAAGAGAAGTCTCCAGAACAATACTCTCACAAGTGGTACGGAAATATGATTGGTGGACTCGACCCAAGACAGTACGGAGTAGATACGGAAGCAGAGGTTGCGTGCACTGGCCCAGCGGTTTCACTGGCTCGGGAGTGCCTCCCACTTGAAGTTCCAAAAGTAATTGGTGGGCCATGCCGCTTTGATAGACGGCGGGGTGGTGGGCGGATTGCGGGACACAACTTCCACCGATACCTGTTAGGGTGGTACAATGAGGTGGAAACCTGGCGGTCCATACATAATTCCTTAAAGTTCGTGGGTTCTAGCCATAGCAGCCAGCGACAGCGAGAGCGAGCGCCGGCAGTAGGCACAAAAGGTGCAAAGGTACGGATAATGCGCACCACCTTGAGGAACTTGAGGGAGACTCGTGCGATTCCCAAACGGAAGTCAGAGAGAGAGAGAGAGGGGGACGTTCCATTGCATGCTCCTGACTTCTGCCTCCTGGCGGGTATTACCCCTATCTTTCCAAGAGCAAGTACTTACCTTACAAGAGTAAGGCACCTTATCATCGCGGGACAGAAGCAATCATGTCTCGCACCAACATCTATCCCTACTTACTCTACCTACTTCATTGCCCATCGATGGCAGTGTGGATTTTCAATGGGGCATGTTGAATGTGAGACGCCATCTACTCTGCCTTTGAATGTTTCCCACTCCACCGTTGGCTCGACCCAGCCTCATTGCTCTCGTCAGACACATACAAGTACCTAGGTAAGCCTGTCTGGAGACCGCAGGTCGGTGTCACTTGGAAAAGGGGAGTACCTTGCATCGACTGGATTGGGTGGTGGTCCGTCCCGCTCATAGACTGAAGAGGAAACACGGGAGCCACGGAACGGAAACACGCCTGGCGTAGCGTCCCAGTAAGGGCGGTGCCCGTGTGCCCGTGTGCCCGTATGCCCGTCTCGCTTTCAGGGGATTTCCTTCTCCCATTATCCCCATCCACATTTGCCACATGTATGAGGTGAACTATGAATACAACTGTCAGAAACCTGACAGACTGCACGACTCTTTCCGCCGCAAATTACAATACCTCATATTCAGAAGACAGGACGGCATTCGGGTCCGACTGAACTGTTATTGGTTAGGTATATTCCCGTCACCTCCCTTCCGTCCATCCGGTTAAAGCCTCAACATCAATGTGGCGTGCCGTATCTTGATGCCTGGCTCCTCACTCCTGAGTCCTCCGTACGGCTCTCTTCTCCTTTGCCTTTCTTCCATAGTGCCTGCAATTTCGCCCAAGACAAATGAACGGGGCTCCGACACCTTAATCCGTCCGGAATGAGTTCAACGGCCGCTGCCCTTCAGCACCTCATCTGGATTGAGATTTACCATTCTGGATACTTTGTAATACCGCCTCATTTCTGCTTCACCCTCGGCAGTCCGCAGTCCGTAATCTACGGTCCACCATTCACGGTCCAGGACACACAAAGTACTCCTGCAATAGGGAAGTCAGGTAAGCAGACAATGACACGGCGTACGGTGCCGATTTTACTCGGGGTACCTTTCAAGCCTCTAGTTCCCTTCCCGTGCCCTCTTCAGCTGTTCCACATAGTCGACCTCACCCGCTGCATTCCCAAGTTACACTAGGTATCAATGTTGGCTGACGGCTGACATGCGACAACCTGTAAGCTTAGCTTGACATGGAAAAGGCAACTTGAAAGGTTGCTGTGCGTGAGTTTACACTACACACTTGAGTACACACTCACCTACAACACCTTACCTCAAGCACACGACGCCCGCACATGGAGCACATACGCGTTCAGCCATTGCGCCGCCGCCCCCGCTGCTAAAGTTAGCCACCCGTTGTTCCCCGGCAGAAGCGGCCATCCAACTCGCCAGTTTTCCTCCTCACTTGTGGGCTCAGTCTGTGGACGTGCTACCTGGAGGTCCTACTTTCTGCCATTCGTGTCCTACGTAGTAGAGAATTACTCGTTGGATGGACTCCCACGTACTACGGTAGGAAGGGGGCAATGGGGGGCTGAACCTCAACTCCAACTTCCAAGTCTCCAGCCAATGCCCACCAACCCCAACGCGTTTATTATTAGACCCGACTCGAGAGCTGATTCTCGTGGAAGTAGATACCTCGGTGATGACTGGGAATTAATTAGGTGCACGAGTCTCAAAAAGGTGGCATGATGGCTATCCTCCTGGGTCGGAACACGGTGCCATAACAACGCGTCGACTCAGATGCGATTGCCTGCAAAATGCTCCATGAAGTAATCACGTTGGGTACATACGGACGGCCGATCTGAAGTCACATAAAGGTGCCATTATGTGCGACTGGTACTGGGCTGAGGGCTTTCTGGCCACCCTTAATGCGTTCCGGTTGGTTGGTTCCGGCAATATGGGTTACGGCTTGTGAATCGCATCGCCATCTATTACCCGTACCCCAGCAAAGATTCGCGTCCTATTGTGCTCTTCTTCATACGCCGCTTCACAGGGAGAGGTTTCTCAGCAAGGGAGTCTGAAGGCATCTCGTGTCGCGCGTCTTGTCTCTTATCAGTGGAGCTTGTGTGCCTGCCGTCATTTTCTGGAGAGAATTCCTCTCAACTCACTTCCTGTGGTGTTAGTGGCTTGCCAACTCACGTACCAAGATGCGCCAACCGCCCTTACGGAGTACGGAGTACTATGGTACCACCGGGCCACACACTACCACAATCCCTGGCTTCCCGAGGCGATCCAGGGGTAGAGAATGCCGCAGATCCGTAGCACTGGCCAACTATGAGACTCAGGGTTCCAGAACGCGACTCGTTTACGAGTGCCTCTCACTATTGCCCCGAAAGTGTAAACGGCCTCGAAGCTCCAGCCCGCCCGGACGGTCCGATATAGATTAATGAGGGAGCGGATTAGACTCTAGGCGGTTCGCAACTCAACAGAGAAGCTCCCAAGGCTCCTACTCGTTGCAATACCTGGCAAACCGTGCATCTTCTCTCTACTCAATGGTTACTCTTTGTCACGATAAGTCGTACTCGGGCCTCTGCTAGTGTGACTCAATCGCCAGCAGACTTGAGATCATTGTTGGATGAGTATTAGACTGCGGATGCCGTTGCCTCTGGCCTGTCAAGGGATGAATGGTGTGTGTACGTAGTTCGAATCTTGCAATAAAGTGTGAGACCCTTACTGAACTCTCAACGGCCAAAGCCATTAAGCCCTTCCATGTCCTCCCAAACTTTCCTGGGCGATCCTATCAACTACTCCGTATGTACCTAAATACTTAGTACACGAGCTTGGCCGAAGGCTATTCTGATGAAAGCCTCAGAAGTCGCCGCCTGCCCATTATCGTTGACTCGCTGCAAGGAGTGAATCGGCCCGCCCGCAGTTCACTAACTCTTTGTGGTCTTGCTTCGTTGCAATCTTGTCGTCGCTATCGATGGCTTCAAACTGCATGCTCATCTCTTGTGGCTAAATTGTTCCCTGATTGATACATGGACTCTCCCAGGGGGGGCGGGGGGCCGATGCCACTTCAACTCCTTTAAGAGCAGCGTTCACAACATCGATCTATCTACCCCACGGCCGAGGTTGACCGCAAAGAAAGGACAAGGGTATACAGTAACGAGGCTGGAATTCGACGGATGTTTTAGCAGGGTACCATATCATACGACCACATCAAATCAGATTGTGTGTACACGGTAACAGTTAGGTTCCGCAGACTTGGCACTGAACTTGATCGGTGCTGGGAATCCAACTTGGGGTTTGACTACCTATGTCGGAGTGAATGCTTGATCTGGGACGGGAGGAACCAACGGTGGCCTACAAGTTCGTCACGAAGGCCAGGCAATCAGGTTTAGCCTTGACAACTGCAACAAGTTGAATACCTGGAATAAATTAAACGACAAAAAAAGGTAGGCATTTTTCGGAGTTACTGAACCTGGGCTGGAACAACATGACGAGCAAGCTGTGACTTATGAACATGAATAGTCAGCCAGTAAGATTACGGCCGGCAGGGGATCTTGCCGTGTCACC